AGACTTCACCAAAAATTAAAACTTGTATGCTTCAAAGGCAGCATGTGAAGGAAGTTAAAAAGCCTATGGTATGGAAGAAAATATTTGCAAATCATCTATGCAGATTATATAAAAGATACCTCGGCTGTGACAGGGAATCACAATATCCAAACCGGAATATATAAAGAATTCTCACAACCCAATAATTAAAAATAATACAATAATAAATGGGAAAAGGATCTGAACAGATATTTCTCTATAGAGATATACAAATTACCAATAAGCACATGAAAAGATGCTAACATTATTAGTCATCAGGGAAATGTAAGCCAAAACCACAATGAAATATCACTTCACATCCACTAGAATGGCTGTAATACAAAAAGAGAGATGATAAAAAGTGTTAGTGATGACATGGAGAAACTGGAACCTTCATATACTGCTGGTAGGAACAGAAAATGGCAAACAGTCTGAGAACTCCTCAAAAGGTTAAACATAGAGGATGTAGATCCATCAATTCCACTCCTAGATATATACCCAAGCAAAATAAAATATACATCCACACTTGGACATAAATGTTCACAGCAGTATTAGTCACAATAGCCTAAAAGTGGAAACAACAAGAGTCAAGTGCCGTGGCTCACACCTGTAATCCTAGCACTTTGGGAGGCCTAGGTGAGTAGATTGCCTGAGCTCATGACTTATAGACCAGACAGAGCCAGAGCCAGACCTTGGCTCTAAAAATAGCCAGGCATTGTGGCAGGTGCCTGTAGTCCCAGCTATTTGGGAGACTGAGACAAGAAAATTGCTTAAGTCCAAGAGTTTAAGGTTGCTGTGAGGCCACAGCACTCTACCAAGAGTGGCAAAGTGAGACTCTGTCTCAAAAGAAAAAAAAAGTGGTGGGCGGCTCCTGTGGCTCAAAGGAGTAGGGTGCCGACCCCATATGCCAGAGGTGGCGGGTTCAAACCCAGCCCCAGACAAAAACTGAAAAAAAAAAAAAGGAAATAACATAAATATCCATCAACTAATGAATGGATAAACAGAGGGGAGTTTATTCAGCAATAAAAAAGAGTGAAGTACAGATTCATGTTCTAATGTGGATAAACCCTGAAAACAGTATGCTAAGTGAAAAAAAGCAGACATAAAGGTCATATACAAATTGTATTATTCAATTTGTATAAAATGTCAGGAATAGGCAAATTGGATCCAGGAGCAGTGGCTTACGCCTGTAATCCCAGGACTCTGGAAGATAGAGATGGAAGGATTGCTTGAGCTCAGGAGTTCCAGACTAGCTTAAGCAAGACTGAGACCCCTATCTCTACTAAAAAAATAGAAAAATTCGCCAGTGCCCTAGCATGCACCTGGCTCAGGCAGGAGGATCGCTTGAACCCAAGAGATGGAGGGTTGCAATGTGCTATGATGACACCACTGCACTCTACCCAGGGAACAGAGTGACACTTTGTCTCAATTAAAAAAAAAAATAAATAAAAATGCAAATCCATAGAAGCATAAAGTAGATAGGAGGGATAGGGAGGAACTGATAGTGGTTACAGGATATTTTGGCAAGGAAAAGGCAGAGAGGTGACCACAGTATTCTCCGATTAGATAGTAGTGACAATTGCACTCGGCCTGCCTGGGCGCTAGGCTGGCTTAGGTCAGGGAGTTGGTGTTGTGCAAGGTTGGCGCCTAAGGAAAACTACAACTCCCAGCGTGCCTGGGCAGGCAGAGCCGGGCGATCATGTGATCTATGCTCACACGTCTCGTCTGCCGGCTCGGGAATGAAGCACCAAAGGTAGGTGGTAAGAGGTAGGGGCGGTGGTGGGTGGAAACCCGGGGTCCCTAGAGAACCCCATCGCGACAGAGCTCGAATCCTTTCCCCGCCGGGCTCCGAGCCAGGCGTCCTCTCCCGACGCCCGCCCTCTATTGCACCAGCTCCGCCGCGCCTTAGCCAAACTAGTCTCCACCTAATCCTAGGCCGGGATCGATTCCCGGAGCCCTCCCCAGTTTACCCCACAGTAACCTTTCCTCAGGCCTGGGAATCGACCCTTGGATGCACTGGCCCCAGTGCAACCTGGCACACCTCTCGCAGTGCTGCCTACCCCTTTTTCCGTCACAAGCTGTACTGGGAACCCCTTGCAGCTGGGATCTGAGGGGCCTGAATCTTTGGCCTGAGCATGTGGGCACCAGCCTTCTAGTTCTGGCTCTGCTAACCGCAGTAACCTTAATCTAACCTCTTCCCCTCTGTGGGCTCATTTCCTATCTGATCTGGCACTCCTTACTATGAGATAGACTTAGAGCTGTTTAGTTCCGTGCACTCTGCTGAAACCAGCCCAGAAACAGCCCAAACTCATTTCTCTGCTGACAGCAGGTTTTAGATTATGTCTTGAGATAAAAAGAAATTGTGGCCAGAAAGGGAAGTGAGGAGAATCAGATCCCAGAGCTGGGAAGGAGACAGAGCACCCCTTCTCTTCCATAGCCAGTGGAGTGGAAAGGGCCGGTAAGCTGGAAACAATGTGGCTGAGTAATTTGGGAGTAAGTGGTACTGAGAGATCTTGGACCAATGCAAAGATTCTGCAAGGGGCTGGGACCACTCAGCCTCTGAGCTGGGTAAGGACCCCAGCCTGCACTGTCTTGTGGGTAACAGAAGTCTGGGCAGATGGTGCAGGACAGGGGCAGAGGTGCCAAAGGGAAATGTGATGCTTGGAAAATGAGGAAGCCCCACCAAGCCTTCTGACCTTAAAGGAGTCACACCCTACAGACCTCTGTGTCTGTATGGAGCATAGTGGAGGTGGTCTCACAACTTTGGCTCGATCTACTTGGCAGGTCTCTCTTCAGCTATACTGGGGACTGAAAGCCTTTACAACTCACTACTTTGATTTTTGCTGACTTGTTGGCTAAGTGACAGTATGCATAAAGAGGAAGAGGCCTGTGGCATCTGACTAATGTTTCTGGAACTGGAGCCAGCAGAGGAACATTTCCTCTGGAGCTGTGTCCTTTGGTTCCATGCTTGATGACAGACATCCAAGAATGCCTGAACTTTCCCTTTCCTTCTCATGAGTGTACCATTCCAGCCCTCAGTCTCATTCTCCACCTCTAGGGGTGAAGGTGTGGCTCTAAGAAGGGCAGTAATTAGATCAGTTATTATAGCTGAATCTGGTCAGTTCCCTTCTTTTCCCTGTGGGCAATAAAAACTAAACCAGGGAGGAATGAGTAGAGAATAAAAGAGAGTTTTGAATGAAAACCCTGGACTGGGACTCAGGAATTATGAGACGCTGGGGAAAAGATTCTTTGGCAGATTTTACACCAGCATGGGTAGTAACCAGCCAATGGCAGCCTCTGGGGAAAGCTGCACTTGGCTCCTTAATATCCCCCTCAGCCCCTGCCTTTGTAACCTGACCTTTGTGTTGCTCTTCTTTCTCCTTAGCTATCCCACTGTCTTTGTGCCCACTGTTACCTGGCCGGTGGCACTAGTGTTCAACTCCCTGTTTTGGAGGGCTAACAATTCTTATGCATGGTAGAAGTGGGCGATGTGGGAAGAGGAATTTACAAAAATAACAATAGCCATGACTATTTCTTGAATGCTAAACCTTTATTAACACACTCCTCTTAGAAACTTATGGCATGAAGTCTTAGAAAGGTGAAATGACTTGCCCAAGGTCACATAGCTGGGAAATGGAGGAGTCAGCTCTCTGACTTTACAGTCTAATCAGAGACCCAGATCTACTACCCCTCCCTGCTCAGGGCTGTGCTTGATCTGTGGGGAGTGCTTGGTTCTTTAACACCACCATTGTCTTGGGGGTTTCAGGCTGTGAGCTGAACCTTGAGAATACTAAAATTCATTTTCAGGGCTGGGCTCCTCAGAGCCTTTTAAGATTCTGGAAAGAAGAAATTTCGTCCAGTTTTCAATAAAGAGGACCAAGTCCAAAGAAAAAAACTGCAACTCAGCTATGTTTACTGAGAGTGAAGAGAATCAGTCAGGTGATAAGCCTGTTATCTGAGTTCATTCTTGCCCAAGGTATCATCTTGGGCCCCAAAGTGGAGCAGACACAAGCAAATGGATTCCTTAGTGTAAGACAGGCCAAGATTTGAATCCCCCAGCTCTACCACTAACCACAGTATGACCCAGGGAAGGGTGCCTAACCCACCTGGGATTCAGTTTCCTCTTTGGTAAAATGGTGATTGTCATCATCTGCCTTTTCAGACTACGCTAAGGATTGAGATAAAGCATTCCATACCTGCAGCAATAGTGGTCAATAGTAACAATAAACATTGTATATTTGGCTTCAGAGTCTTGTACACTAACCCAGGAAAACAAGCCAAGTGCCATGAAATGCTAGCACATGCGGGAATGCTGAGAGGAAACCATCCTGGGCCCCCAGGTGCCTCCAAGAAGAACTTAGAAATTGTTTGAGAAAATGAGGAAGAAATGGGACCTGAAAGGCTGGCAAAGAGGCTGGGGGCATTCCAAATACAGGATTCATAATTGTTTTCCTAAAGACACATATCCAATAGGCCTGGGGGACTTGTCACATGGGAGAAGAGTGAGAATTTAACTTAAATTTTGAAGAGTTTTGCAAGCCAAACAGAATTTAGATTCTGGGCCAGAGGGAGGTGTGCTGTACTGTAATATGTTGAATCATAGTTCTTGGTGATTGCCCCTCTGGGGACTGTGTGGTGTGGAAACAGGCTAGAAAGCCAGGCAGATCTGGATCCAAATCCTGTCTGCAACTTGCTAATATGTGACCCTGGGTCAGTAATTTGAAGTCTCTAAACCTTTTGACCATAAGATTGTCATAAGGATTGAATGAGGTAAGAAAGGTTGCTGACACACCTGCCCAGTGCATGGTCTCTCTCTAGTGTTGATGTGTGTTAGTACTCCTCTTTTTTATGTTTACATCTAATTGACCCTGCAGATCTTAAGCTTGAACCAAGCAAGATTTGCACCTGACATATTTCTGTCTCTGCCTCCCCACACTGTGACACCCAATGCAGTGTCTTATACAGATGCAGATCAGGGTTTGAATCCCAGTCATATGATCTTGGGAAAATTGTTTTGCCTTTCTTTGCTCCAGTTTCCCCATCTCAGGATAACAGTAACACCTGCTTTTGTCCCATCTAGGTTGAGAAGAGCCCTCTGAGGATAATAGCCTGGAACAGATAGGTGTTCTCTCCACTCCCTGGGAGATGTGTTCATGAGGCAGAACCTGCAGACCCTCAGGGAAGAGGGCTCTTAGGGCCATGGCCCAGGGCAGCATCAACAGTGACCACAGTGAGTGGGGCTTCAGCTCAGATGCTGGGGAGCGTGCCCGGCTGCTGCAGAGTCCCTGTGTGGACACAGCCCCCAAGAGTGAGTGGGAGGCCCCTTCTGGGGGTCCAGGCAGAGGCACCACTTCTACACTTGGGGCTGTCTTCATCGTCGTCAATGCCTGCCTGGGTGCAGGGCTACTCAACTTTCCAGCAGCCTTCAGCACTGCTGGGGGCATAGCAGCTGGCATCGCACTGCAAATGGTGAGTCCAGGAGGGCAGAGGTGCAGTTCAGGTGGGCTCTTTGTTTCTAAAGGGAGACATGGGTTCAGGGATGGCCTATAGGTGACACATGCACCACTCTCCCCTACTCACGCATGGCAGACATTACTAATCAACCCCAGCATTCCACTGAGCCCAGATGAGGCTTTCAGAAGGCTTCCCAATTAGCTAGCTGCATATGTAATTTTTTAGGTGTTACATTGATTTTGTGATTATGTTTAAAAGAGGGAGGGCCTTTATCTTTTAGAACTACATACTGAAATACTTATTAATGAAATGATAGACAGGTTTTATTGGCTTCAGAATAATCCAGAGTGGGAAGGGGAATATGATGAAACAAGATTGACCACGAAAATTGATCATGTTTGAAGCTGAGTGAAGGGTAATGGCAGTACCATTCTCCCTACTTTTTTATGTTTGGATTTTTTTTTTTTTTTTCAGTTTTTGGCCGGAGCTGGGTTTGAACCCACCACCCCTGGCACTTGGGGCTTGCACCCCACTCCTTTGAGCCTCAGGTGCTGCCCTATGTTTGAAATTCTTCACAAAACATTTTGTTTGTATAGAAAATCTCAACTCAACAATCCCTGTGAGATTTGCCAGGCCCACTTTGGACACTGGCCTAGTAAACGCTGTGCTGGCCCAGCATGCCCTCTGGTCCCAGGTCTTTCCCACAAACTCTGGTTCTGCATCCCCTGCAGGGCATGTTAGTTTTCATCATCAGTGGCCTTGTCATCCTGGCCTACTGCTCCCAGGCCAGCAACGAGAGGACCTACCAGGAGGTGGTGTGGGCCGTATGCGGCAAGCTGACAGGTGTGCTGTGTGAGGTGACCATCGCCATATACACCTTCGGCACCTGCATCGCCTTCCTCATCATCATTGGGGACCAGCAGGACAAGAGTGAGGTTCCCCCTCCATACCTACCTCACCTCTCCCCCTCAGCCTTGGGGATCCTGGGATGGAGGGGAAAAGCTCTGAATACCTGCCTAGGACTTACCCAGGCCCAGCATTCCTCTAGAAGTCCTACTTCCAGGCTGCTGAACCCATTACACAGAGGGAGGTCCCGGGGCCCAGCAGAGCAGGAGGGCCACAGGCTGTGGTGGCCTGGCATGACAGTCCCTCCTTCCTCCCTGTGCAGTTATAGCTGTGATGGCCAAGGAGCCTGAGGGGGCCAACAGCGGCCCCTGGTACACAGACCGCAAGTTCACCATCAGCCTCACTGCCATCCTCTTCATCCTGCCCCTGTCCATCCCCAGGGAGATCGGCTTCCAGAAATATGCCAGGTTCGAAGCAGGTTCCCAGCCCGGGGCAGTCAGAAGCTCTGGTCCTGGGCGAATGGAGACCCAAGGGCTGTGGCAGAACCCTGCTCCCCTGTGCTACCTACCTTCTCAGGGAGCAAGAGTAGGCAAGGAAGGGTGGGCCAGAACTTGCAGGCAGGAGACCTTCCTTTTTTGTTTCAATTGAGGGAAACAGGGATGCTTCATTAGTGAGAGATTCAATTCTAAGTGTCCTTGTCAAGGAAGGGATGGGTTGTAGCTGGGAGTGTGGAGGCAATCTGCTGGCCTGGGCCTTGGCTTTCCCTGGGAAGACGGGTTTTGGATCATCTGAGATTGTCAGGCTGGAAGCAAGTCCCATGCAGCTTAGCTGAAGGGTAGAGACTGGCTTCCTGGCTCAGTGTCTGAAAAGCTTTAGGATTCTAGACTGTCTCCAGACTGTAAATGAAGGGGTCAAACTCAGTTATATCGATGGCTCCCTTATACGTTGACATTGCAGTATTTGTACTCCCCAACCCTCTCACCTCTGGCATCTCCTAGTTCTCAAAGGGCAAGCTAAAAGGATGACCTCCTCACCATGCTCACCAAGGCTGGGCTGCTCTGATCGAAGTCCCCAGGTGTGCTTTGGATCTCAGGTCTCTGCCATGGGCTCTGAGCCACGGAGCTGAACCAGTGCATTTTCTGGGAGGAAGAATGGAGTAGGTGTCCAGAAATGCCAAGCGGGGCCTTTATTGGCTGTCCCACTCCCTCTTGGCTCTGGCAGGTTTCTCTGAAACTTATTTCTCAGTTATTTCCTGAGTCTTTGCTTGGCATAGTCCCCCGTTCATTGAGTGGATACTTGTGATCACTAGAGCTAAGTGTGGATGTCCCTAGGGATGAAATCAAGGAAGGGGCAGCTGCAGCTGGGGAGGAGGACACTCAATCTCTCCTTCCTGGCAGCTTCCTGAGTGTTGTGGGTACCTGGTACGTCACTGCCATCATTATCATCAAATATATCTGGCCAGATAAAGAGATGACCCCAGGGGACATTCTGACCAGGTGAGTGAAGGCTTGGGAGATGTATAGGGTAGAAATTGCCTCTTGAGCCCCATTGAATGTTGGGTCACACATCAAAAGACCTTCCCAAGGCTTAATAGCTCATTGAGGCTGACTCATTGGTTATTATAGGGAAAAGGCAAAAGGTCCTGATCTCTTATTATTGGAGGGAGGAGAGAGAACCAGAGATGGGGGAGGCTTTGCCACCAACATCCGACAGATGACCTGGTGCAAGACTAGACCTCAGGTTTGGAGACCATTGGGTTGAAAATGCATATTTTTCCAAGTTGTGCTTATCTGTAAATTCTGTATCTTCTATTTACATATAAGTCCGTTTTGTTGAGTATTTGTTCTTTTTTTAAGTCCCTTTTTTGGGGAAAGGAACAAACCGGAAAAGCTTTAGTCCAAGAACCAGGAGTTCTGGATTTCAGTCCCAGGAGGACTTTGCTGAGCTTCAGTTTACTGGCCTATGAAATGGAGATATCTCTTCTCCCTGTTCTCAAACTTCTGTGGGAGAAACATGTAGAATGCTAGTCACTGAAATCGTGGTGGGATGAATGAAAAGTAAGGGTGTGAGTCAGCTGGTGGCTCTGAAGGGTTCCTAGGCAGCAGCACCTTGTGCATTTCTCAACAGGCCGGCTTCTTGGATGGCTGTGTTCAATGCCATGCCCACCATCTGCTTTGGATTTCAGGTGCCAGTTGCAAGGTCCCTTTTGTCCCCTTAGCTTGCCCCTGCACTCTGGAATGGAACCCACATTGGCAGGGTGGGAAGAATCCTAGGGGAAAAGATGAAGCCCAGAACTTTCCCCTTGTTTCTGGGCCCTTTGTCCCCAAGGTACCTTCCTCTAGAAACTGAGGGCGAGGTCACTTCCCCACCATGACTGTGTTCTTTACCCGGACAGTGTCACGTGAGTAGTGTGCCCGTCTTCAACAGCATGCACCAGCCTGAGATAAAGACCTGGGGTGGGGTGGTGACAGCTGCCATGGTCATCGCCCTTGCTGTCTACATGGGCACAGGTAAGTGCTCCCTTCCTCCTCTGAGTACCCAAGTCCTCTGGCCCAGCTTTCCTGGGGACAGTCCTTGCACTCCTAGTAGGACAAATACTGCTGTAGGCCTTGGCTTGAACTTGGGCTTCCTGGGGCCTCTTCTTGCCAAGATGAGAGAGGTGTATCCATCATTCATTCATTCATCAGTTCTGAACTGATGATTAGGAAGTACTAGGAACTGTTCTCAGCATGGGGGATGCCATGGGGAGAGGCAGGCCTGGCCTGCCCTCATGGAATTAACAGTCATGCACGAGTCATTAGGGAATCAATAGGAAATCCAGGCCAGGCATGGTATGTCATTCCTGTAATCCTAGCACTCTGAGAGGCCAAGGTGGGTGAATTGCTTGAGCTCAGGAATTGGAGACCAGCCTGAGCAACTGCCAGACCCTGTCTCTATTAAAAATAGGAAAACTAGCCAGGCATGGTGGCAAGTGCCTATAGCTACTTGGGGGGCTGAGACAAGAAGATCTCTTGAGCCCAGGAGTTGGAGGTTGCTGTGAGTTATGATGCCATGGCAGTTTACTGAGGGCAACATAGTGACTTTGTCTCAAAAAGATAAATAAATAAATAAAATAAGAAATTCCAGACAATGGAAGGAGCTATGTTGATAGTGAAATAGGAAAGATGTGAATGGGACCAGGTGGGATGGGCCATGGAAGCCTCCTCTCTGAGGAGGCCCAAATAATGAGAAAGAACCAGACTATGAAGAGCTGAGGGAAAGTATTCAGAGGAACCACAAAGCTCCATGTCCCTGAGGCAGGGCCAGAGAGGGTATCTGTGTAGCTGGAGTGGAGTGAGTTGGAGGCAGGTGGCAGACAGTGAGGCTGGACATGTAACGGGCACTGGGTTTACTGGGCGTTGGATGCTGTTGGGTGCCAAGAGAGGAAGCATTTTGAGCAGGGGAGTGGCTCAGGGAAAGATGGCTCTGGCTGCTCTGGGGAGAGTGGTTAGGATGGAGAAGCAGGCTTGGGTGACCCAGGAAGAATGGTTGCAAGAGCTGCCTGAGCCAGTACTGCCCTAGCCTCTGAAGACACAGCCTGGAAAAAGAGGAGCAAACAAGCATAGTCCCTATTCTCCTGGGACTTGTGTTATGGCTGGGGAGACAGACAATAAGCCAGCAAAAAAAAAAGAGAGAGAAAGAGCGGTGCATGTTAGAAAGAAAACAGAAGCAGGTGGTGTGAGTGCTATGGTGGGGAATCATTGTAGATGGGCTGACAAGACGTGCTTTCTAAGGAGGGACATCTGAACTAAGACTTGAATGATGAGGAGACAGCAGCATGAAGATCTGAGCAGATGGAAGGGTTAATGCAGAGGCTTCAAGGTGGAAATGCATTGGCCAAGTTCAAGATCAGAAAGATGGGGGATAAAGGGCTTCCAGCAAGGTGGGGATATGAGAAGACAGGATGGGAGGTGTCTGATCCTACCCCCACAACCCCTCTGAGTCTCAGTCCAAGCTTTTAGAGCTGCTCTAGCATTCTTCCCAGTTGACATCACAGGAGGATTGAGTGGGCAACCCCCTGTCCTCCCAGGATTGCCCTGACCCAGCCCCCTTGTCCCTGCACACAGGCATCTGTGGCTTCTTGACCTTTGGAGCGTCTGTGGACCCTGACGTGCTCCTTTCCTACCCCTCTGAAGACATGGCTGTGGCTGTTGCCCGAGCCTTCATCATACTGAGCGTGCTCACTTCCTACCCTATCCTGCACTTCTGTGGGCGGTGAGCCTCCTCCCACCCCACTGGGGCCCTCCTGCTCCCCAGAGCCCTCAGTCCCTATGAGCCCTTTCAACCTGGGCCTTTCGCCTTGTGTGGAACCCAGTCTGGAGAAGGAGAAACTGAAGCTAGTAGAAAAGAATCATTGCCTAGGATTGTCCCTCAAGTACCGACCCCAAGTTGGGTCTCAGGACCCCCCTTTTGCTCAGGGTCACCAGAATGTTCTGTCAGTCCTATAAGAATCTCTGAGCTTTCACTTGGATACCTGACCTTTTGGATACTTCAGTCCATTCCTTTTATGGAGAATAATGTATCAGTTTCCATGTGGTGAAGCAAAGCACTAAGCCCTCCACATTCACCATCTCATCTAGTCCCCACAGCAACCAACCAGAGTGTTAGCATGCCCATTTTTTGGAAGGGGAAACTGAGGCTCAATATTAAGACCTTACCTACAATTTACCCAGCTAGCAGTCCAGCTCCTATGTCCTACAGTGGAGTCATTAATGGGCGCCTCTGAGACCCTCTCTTTGTGGGCAGGGCGGTGGTTGAAGGCCTGTGGCTACGCTACCAGGGGATGCCAGTGGAGGAGGATGTGGGGCGGGAGCAGAGGCGGCGAGTGCTGCAAACGCTGGTCTGGTTCCTGCTCACCCTGCTGTTGGCGCTCTTCATCCCTGACATCGGCAAGGTCATCTCAGTCATTGGGGGCCTAGCCGCCTGCTTCATCTTCGTCTTCCCAGGTACAGCCCCCCTGCTCCCCCCTCTCCCAGCCTGGCAGCACAGATTTCCAGAGCCTCCCTGCCATTGGTTCCCCACTGGCTCAAAACCTGCCAGGGAGAGTAACCCTCAGGATTTATTACTCACCTACCTCAGCTCTGTGGTAGCCCCTATCCAAGCAATTATCTCCTGAGAGGGTCACAGACTTGCCTAGAGGTTAACAGATACAACTAATAAGTAAACCTCTTCCGACCCAAAGCTGTCTGGGTCCAGGACCTATATTCTAACCCTTCATGCAGGTGTCTGTTGCTCCCTGACTATCAGGGATCTGTCTGGAGTCTAGCCCATCACAGCCCAGGGGAGATTGGAGTCTGGTGTGGCCCCTGACACACCAATCGGGAGACCTGGGTGCTGAAATGGATCAGTGTCAGATCCCTGGGGAAGTGTCCTGTCTGTCCAGCTATATAAGTTCTGGCTATACTTTGCTAATCCAGGAGGCCACTGTGAAAGCCTGGCCACTTTGCTTGGAGCAAGAGAGCCACATCAGCTTAGAAGTTCACTGAGAAAACTTGGCTACCACTAAGTCACCATTCCGTGCTGTCCCTTTAGCTCTGAGTCTCACATGCAACCCAAGGGTGCTTTGTTAAGATGCTGGCTGTCCCAGGGGAGCAGATATCAGGCCTTCCTCTGGATATGGAGCAGGGATGGCAGAGATGGATTATCCAGAACAGTAAACATAAGCCTTTCTCTAGCCACCACCACTGCTTCTTGGTAAGGGAGGAGGCTGAGCCTGAGGGAGGGAGCCCCCTCGCCCTACAGATTCCCAGGGCTACCTCTTTCCTCACAGGGCTGTGCCTCATTCAAGCCAAACTCTCTGAGATGGAGGAAGTCAAACCAGCCAGGTAATGCAGGGCCCATTCCATGGTCTTCCTGGGGAGGTGGTAGATTGGAGGATGACCTTAGAGTTGAAGCCTTAATAAAGGCAGGAGTCAAGAGACTTGTATACTTAAAAATCATGGGGGAAGCATGGCACCTGTAGCTCAGCAGCTAGGGTGTCAGCCACATATACTGGAGCTGGGGGGTTCAAACCCAGCCAGGGCCTGCCAAACAACAATGACAACTACAACCAAAAAAGTAGCCAGGCATTGTGGTGGGCACCTGTAGTCTGAGCTACTTGGGAGG